TTCTCCCCCCCCCCCCCCCTCTCTTGCTCCCCAACCCTCCCCGCTCTCTCTCTCTCTGTCTGTCTGTCTGTCTCTCTCTCTCTCTCTGTGTCTCTGTCTCTCTCTCACCGTCGCTCTCTGTCTGTCTGTCTCTCTCTCTCTGCTATTGGCGCGCCTGGTTGTGATGAAGCCGAGACCCAAGGTCGGCAGAGCATCCCAGACCACGCCACCGCTCCCCTTATCCATGGCTCACACATGACGGGTTTACGTGGCTCTAGTAAAAACATGTCATCAGCATTGTTACTACAGTGCTGGCAACTGAAATCCGACCCCCTGACTGCCTGAGCGGTGCGCTCACATCGCAAAGAATGTGAACCCACCGCTCAGGTGGTCGGATTTCAGTTGCCAGCACTGTACATTGTTGTAGCGTTACATGTATTTGTACATGCAGTCGATCTGAAGTGCAATGTGTGTGTGTGTGTGTGTGTGTGTGTGTATATGTGTGTGTGTGTGCAAAAAATAAAGCGAGTGAAGAAAATCTCGTGTGTGCCTATCACAGTATCAGAGTCGTTCTTCTGCGAGCAGCATTATGTAACTCCGCCTCCGACCGATCAAACCCAGATATGATTTCAAAGCAAGCATCCTGCCTCTTGGAGTCCCCTCTGTAACAGTGCTCGCATTGCTCAGAATATCTACATGTATAACCGCATGCTGCCATTCTTATGCATACCACCGAGAGTACATAACCAGTTGTTGATTATGTACTCTTGATAGCACCAACTCAGTGTGATGCATGTACACTCTTTTTTAGCGTGCAGTGTGGTAGTAGTATTTTTATTTACCGCCGGGGTGGTGCAGCGATAAATTTGATACATATCTCTTGACCCAATCCCATAGGTCTTTGACCACTTTGTAGTGGGTCTGATCTCACCCCACCCACATCCGTGACTTTAGGAGGTGCATCTGCGCCTTGATCCTTGAAGGTGATGGCATTCAGGGCCTGCAGATGCGAAGGTGATGGTATTCCCGCAGAGATGCGAAAATCTCGGTCTGATTGAGTCTCGTGCGAGCCGCAAACTCTTTTTTATAAATATACCTCCCCCCCCCCCCCCCCCCCACCTTTATACCGATATCTTCTTCTTGTATTGGAAAAGGGACATCTTCAGAATAGAAAACAACTTTCAAGAAATATTCTGGAAGGACTGGAGAATTCAATGACAACATCATTGAGCTCTCCAGTTTTACATACATTGTAAGCTTATTGGTATGCCGAAGAACCAGCCAGTACTAAGCATACATCATGAAGCAATAGGAATTGCTCAGAAATTCTCACATTTTCAACAATCGCATAACTTGTGCCCACATTTTCCATGCTACAATTTTTTTCCTTGCCTCATCTTCTGAGCTCTTTTAAATGCATACAAGAGTCCATAACCCCCCAGAGTGTGCAACCCGTGATACTTCTCAGCACAAATCAGTGCCGCAACGAAATCCAAACTTCATACGTCATGTAGTGAGTAGCTATGACGAAATGGGAAGTTTGGCCCGGACCTACTTCGCCCGTTTGCCCAATTTGGGGTCTTTCTTTACGAATCCACGGCCAGGTATTGTACGTAACACGCCTGGAAAGTACACAAAGAATTATTTTAGAGTTGTCGATCAGTTTTCTCTTTTGAGTGTCTCTCCGATAAGAGAAGAACAATGGCCACTGTTGAACCTAAAGCAAAGCGCTCCCCATTGTCGCCGGAGTGCAGTGTCTCTGTGGACGATATTCGTCAGTTTTTGCTCGATCTGGGCTCCTCATTTTCTTCTCTCGATTGTCGAGTGTTGGAAATTGTACCAAAATGGGACTGAGGAGCAGGTTGAAGCACATCTACTTCGAAATCGATCGGGTCTTCATGCCGTGTGCCAAGAGCTATTTCCATCAAATCTTGTAAATCTATATCCATGCCTATTCTTGCTATCCCGGAGTCACGAACTCTCCCAATACAAGCTTTTCAGACAACGAGCAGAGAAACTCTCTTCAAATAAAAAAATTCTGTGACTGTGAAATCAAAGCCGTTCTGCTGACACTGCATAGCCCGTGGAGCAAACGTTTTATGTGACACTTCCGTGGCTTGCTTCAAAGCAACCTTCAAGTAGTTACTTGGAACCCCCGCCGGATGTACCAGATATGCACATGGCCCCATCCGCCCATGCTTGCCCGGGGACCGGATGACGCAATGTTTGGATTTCGTTGCGCCAGACCCCAACCTGGAGTTGCACACTCTGGGGGGTTATGGACTCTTGATGCATACCAGAACAGCGCCAGGTTATGCGCATGCAAGCCCCCCCCCCCCCCCCCCCCCCCGTCGCAAAGTGTGCAACGCCAGCCTACGGGGGTCTTCCACAGCAGAGCCTCATGTCATGTGACAAACCCGTACACATTGCTTTCACCCCGTGCATGCAGGTCACTGGAGGATAGCTGCAAAGTTGTACCAGGGGTCGCACTGTGAAATCAGGCACATTCTCAAGACCGCTACCAGACATTTTCCAGACAATTTTTTCAAAGTTCCAGACCACACGAAGTAGCAAATTTAATCGAAAACAGCAAAATAACATCAATCGGAGCTCACTATACGCTATCCTGTTTTGGGTCTATGTACAACGATCCGGTGGTCGCGTATTGAACCATGTCATTTGATTTGCTACTCCGCCATCGCAGCACTGGATAAGAGATTGTACAGCCATTTGCACACCCTTGGAGGGCTATGTGCTCTTGATATCAACAGCAAACTTGTCACAGCAGAATTATTCTGGGAAATGCCAGGAAGGCATATTTTTTTATAGACACACATATGTCTGTCTCTCTTTCTCTGTCTGTCTGTCTGTCTATCTCTGACACACACGCACTCTCTCTCTCTCTCTCTCTCTCTCTCTCTCTCTCTCTCTCTCTCTCAGTCTTCCTTTCTACATCATCATTGCGCTGCAAATCATAATAATTATTATTATACCATTCCCTAGTATGTTGCATGTTCATATAATGGAAACTGAGCTAACACAGCACTGCCGGGCATTGAAGAATAAACAGGGTAGAATTATACTCTGGTACGGAATACCAGCACGTGCACGGTGGCTGCGTTCGATTATGCACTTGAATAGATTCATGAATCCATTCGCATGCATTCAAATCGTTCGATTTCATGTCATGAGCCCTGGAATCGATTCGGAATCCATTCACCCTATTCACACGGGGTGATGTGAATAGCGCGAATCGATTCATAAATTGATTCGTGAATCGATTCGATTCTGCCCCCCCCCCCCCCCCCCCCCCAATTGATTCATGAAACCATTCACAAATCGCCCCTTGCTACTCACATCACCTCATGTGAATATGGTGAATGGATTCCGAATCGATTCCAGGGCCCATGACATGAAATCGAACGGCGAGAATCCATTCATGAATCGATTCAAGGGTGTAATCGAACGCACTCAGTGGGTCAGCTATAGACAATTCTGCAGGAAAAAATAACACCCCCCCCCCCCCCCTCGCGGTCTTCGGCACGTACTGGAGTTCAGTGACGAGGGCACAGGGTGCGCTTCTACCTAGAGACCGGGCTTCTAGTAAAGACTGGGCTTCTAGCAAAGACTGGGCTTCCAATAAAAACTGGGCTTCTAGTAAAGACTGGACTTCTAATGCACACGGGGCTCTTATTAGAGATTACAATACGGGTAGTATATCTCCATCCTGTGCTCCAGCACAGGCTCTCAGCTGCAGTGAATTATACAACACTTCCCATATTTCACCCATAGGTTTGGTGCGTAACGCGTGTATAGTCGGTGAAGTCCGGTCACTACATTAGCAAATGGTCGTCAGGAGTACATGTACAGTACATTTGTAGTTGTAAATGTCCCAATGTGGCTGTTGGTATATTCCAGCTTCCTCGGACCAAGAGGCAAGACCATTCGACTCAGCACCCCGAAGACTACAACTGGTGAACATTTGATTGTAGGCTTAAATAAAACTTGTAACCGGGGATATTAAATTTTACTTTCCCTGGTTACAAGTTTTTTCAACTTTTTTGTTTCGTTTTGGGTTTTTGGTCGCCTTACCTACTGGAGCAGTTGTACTTGTGGAGCACTCATTGTACTGGATCCCATCGGCTCAGCTTGGTGAACCGGCCCCTCGCCTTTGTCTTGCTTGTTTTTCTCACGTTTCGCTCCTCACCTGCTCCGTTGACATTAATTTTCTGTCCACCAGAATCCGCTATCAAATAACACAGAGTTGCGCGCCGAAACAGTAGCACAGAAGCACCGGCTACGAAACTTCATTACTATCACACTTGTGCAGCCGAAGGAGATTCGGCAAATGGTGCACGTCGAAGACTAATGACTCCAACACAACTGTTTACTATCTACCCCTCACTGAATGATTTTCTTGTTCGATTTGAAAAGAAAGAACATCTTCTTCTTTCCTGGTTTGAACGGGTTCAAATGAACGACCCTCCTGAGCTAGCAGAGGTTCTCCGATTTGAACCGTGTGCCACGGTTCATGACCCCCGCGGCACATGATGAACCCAACAATAGCGTGGAGAAGTTTTTCGCGCAACGGAACTGCTCAGCCGTTGCGGAATTCGAAATTCCATTGATCTTTCGCGTTTCCGGTTCGATAACTTGGAACCCGCCGCAGTGTTTCATACAACCTCGCATTTTTAACACTAGCCGAAATCGTGAGGATTTGGGAAATTCTCCTGGGGGCTCAACTCTTTGCGTCCACGCGCGTTGGGAACGCGGACCCTTGGCAGAACTCAAGGCGTCCCAAGCAAATGTGCATGCTTCCAGTTGGCTGAAAAACGAACTTTCCAAACTACAATCATGAATGTAAGTTTGCTTGTTTCAGATTGACCTTGAAGCCGACTCCGCGGGAATAGCATGTTCATTAGGAGTTTCCTTGATTCAGTAATCCACACTTGTGGCTTTACCAGAGAATTACTTTGTCCCGCGTGTTGTGGGTTGCATAATCAGGTTGCCTGTGCCTTTTTTGGACGTTTTGCACCGATGAACCATTTGACCTCTGATTGACGATGTGCGGAGTTGTTTGAGTTGGGACCCGGTCCTACGAGGTTCAGTAGTTTTAGTCAGTAGTCTTTCGAGACAATAGCTTGATACTTTGCCAGCCATGCTGATGTTCAATCACTGCTGGGCAGTCCCGCTGGATTTTTCGAAGTAAACTGGCTTCGGCGATCACCCAATTCTACCTCTAATTCTCACTTACATGTTTCATATACCCAATAGCAAACAAAGAATATCCCGAAAGCCCTGTGCCGCTAGTAACTGGAGGATGGCTACGTTGATTAGTAAAGCGGAGAATTTCCTGCAAGCAGGCATGCTATGCATAGGAATCTGTACTGTCCTGACCTCGTGTACAACGAATACTACTATTTCTACTTCACCCCTATTGGAGAGAATGCACGTTCCCCAGCACAAGCCACTGCCAGAGCTGCAGAATCGCCAGAAGACGTCAGCAGGCAGCAGACCTGATCAGCTAGCCAGTGCTGATTGCCCTTGCAACTGGCATGATGGACTCGCAAGCAAACTGTCCAGCAGCTTTCCCACCGTATGTGCACCTGCGTGTGGACAACTTCTGCCAACGCAGTCTTCCGGCTCCCCCTCCCTCGTTCCCAGCACAATCCAGCGTCTCCTCCGTGATAGCAGCGGCCGTGGGCTCACGAACAATACCGTTCCACCTCCGTGTAGAGATTCCCACCACCGTCCCCAGCAGAACAACAAATCAGAACCTGAGCATAGGTACAGTGTCGCCGAGCGCTTTCTTCCCGGTAGCCCAGAGACACAGCTGGAACCGAACCAACGGACAAGCTCCATGAAGCCAGCGTCCAGCGGTGATCTCTGCTCCCCGTTCCACCCAACCTTGCCCAACACGGGATCTACCGCTAATGATGTAGCTTCCAACAAGATGCGTATTGGCGCTTCTCATGTAAACAATTCTGAAGTACAGCGGATTTCTGATGTTGTGACATACCCTCGCCAAGATTCAACTGCACTGGCTGACGAAAGGAAGAGTATGAATGTGTCCGCATCGAACAGGATTGTTCAGGCGTGTGCCATGGTGCAACGGCATGAGATGACTTTCATCGACTTGCCTGTTGCTGCAATGTGGTCGCCGCCGTATGGGGTGAGTTCTGCTTGAAAAGAGCAATGAATTTATGGGTACAGCCCGCATGTGTGTGTACGTGTGTGTGCAGCGATTTCCAATCGACAGGTTGCGGGTTCGATTTCCGACTATTATGGTCACACACGTCTTTCTTCTCTTTCTCAGACTCCTCCTGACTTTTTTTTCATTCTCCTGGGTGGTTACCAACAGCCAGTGCATACCGGAGTATGTGGTGTGATTGTGTGTGCGGGGAAAATAATTAAAAAAAACCAAAAAGTAGGGATTCATAGGGCAGAATAAGCCACTTCATAGCTGTGTGGTGTAGACCAGGCTGAATAGTGGCGGTCAATTCTTCAGCCTTGCAAGCTGTTGAATGGTGCAATCCCAGCACAAGTTGATATGGCTTCTGTTGTAGCATCGCTATCATTGCCTCCGGCGATGGGCGTCAAATGGTCAAATGGTGTGTGTTTTGGTGTGGCCGGACCAATCAATAACTGCTTCCGCCGGTCCCATTGGAGTACGGTTCATGACGAAGATGCGAGTTCAGTGCTAAAATGCCATGCAATGCTGTTAAGGCGAAAGTGAATCATTTGGATGAAAGAGATCAGGGTTGTCTTGCTGTGCTTCTGCCTCTCTAAATGTGCTTCCGTTAGATTAAACTAAGCTTGAAGGTATCGCCTCGCACAACAGGTAAGCCTTTGTTTTCTGTCTCACGGGGAGTGTTGAAAATGAATGGCGGGCATTGGCGGCTATAATAATAATTAGTGTTGAAACGATCTCACCGGGTACTCGTTAGCTCGCTCGCCAGAAACTCGGCTCGTTTGTGCGGCCAGCTCGTTTGCACTAACGAACACCGTACACCGTACTCCGTACACATGGCAGTACATGTTGACCGGGGAGTCGAAAAATATTTTACGACTCCCTGGTCGATCGAGAGTCCAGTCCCACGAAAAGTGAAAATCACTCGCAGTTACAGTGACTGTAAGCCTGCACGACACTTGAGTTGTTTCAGTTGTCGTTGCAGCTTTGGTGGACTCTACTGATGTCTTGTTCCGCATCTGCTGACCTGTCGCAGGATATGCTTCGGTCACCTCTCCATTCGAGTGAAAGTTACGCTCAGTCGTTTGGAAGTTTTCTCCCGCGATGCAGCGAAGTCAGAACAGGGCTACTTGCAATCTTTGCAAAACGGTCTATTCTTACGAAGGCTACTCAACGACGGCGCTGAAAAGACATCTCGACACCAAACAGCAGTCCGAAGTGAAGCAGCAGCAACCCCAAATGCCGGCGGTGATAATTTGAACCAGCTGAAAAAAATCGAACTTAGAAAAAAATCATTCAAAAAATCATATTTGCCACATCAATGAAACTCGTTAGCTCGCTCGATAGCTTGCTCGTTAGTGGAACTGATCGCTCGTTTGTTATAGATACGCTCGTTTCAACACTAATAATAATAATAATAATAATAATAATACATGTACTGTGGTGGACATTGAAATCCGATGGGATGACAGCAGCCGGCATCCTTTACTGCCTTAGCCCATACATGCACTGTAGTTTACGTGCTCGCCTTAAAGCTCACCGCTTGTTTGGTTGCTGGTTTATTTTGTTCTACTTCACCAAGTCAACAGGTATTTCTGCCTTCTCACCAGGTCCGGAGACCTAGTTCCGACAAAAATGATGAAGAGCATGCAGAAGAGTGAATAAAAATCATGTATTAAAAATTAATTCGGATGGAGAGCAAAGGATTAATTTATACAAAAGAGAAAGGACCAAATAGCGTAACTTGTAGTTCCTTGGTCCTTTCTCTTTTGTACAAAATTAATTTCACGGTTCGCGTGAGATATTCATGGATAAATGATTAAAATCATGCAGAAGATTGTGCTTGACTTCTCTTCACAGCGGATTTTAATGTGTCCAAAACGGTACTTTGCCGACAAGAGGACACAGCGGCAAAGAGTGTGCAACCGCCTGTGCAACCTCTATCTGGTGCTGTGACGGCAGAGTTTCACATCACATGCCACAGTTCAGTAGGTTACCATGGCAACATGTGCAGAGTGAGACATGTGTTCAAAGCAGGGTTGTGTGTACAACCCAGTAGATATCGTGCACAGGGTGCGAATATCGTGTACGGGTTTGTTGGTTGGTTGGTTGGTTGTGTTTATTTGAATTCGCAAACCGAACAGACTGAACATGTCCAATGACAAGGAAGCGAATGAAGTCCAAGTAACCCAGGCATGGGAAACTCGGCGGCAGACACAGATGAAAAGAAAATATGGGAACAGAAGGCTCTCAGCAAAGGAAGAAGAGAAAAGAAGGAAAGAAAAAAAAGAAATGAAGGGGAAAAAGATGAAAAAAATCGTGGTCACGACGAGAAGAAAGCTTTTAGCAAAAAGAGAAAAGAAAGGATAAAGGAGAAAATGGGGAGAGAAATCGGGGCACGGCACAGTAGACATGTACATGACTTGTGCTTACATATCACAACAACAACAGGAACATATCACAACAACAACAGGAACATATCACAACAACAGGAACAAGCATGCATGAAGCATGGGCCATGCCGGCCCAGAAACGGCAGACACCGACAGGAAGAGAGAAGACAAGAGAGAGAAATCGAAGCCTTGCACATCTACACCCACATATCCACACACCCACATATCCCCACACACACCCACACACACCCACACCTGTCACGTGGTACGAGATTCTGCCATCGCAGGTCCCATGGACGATAGAGTTGCGCACTCTTGGGGTCTTTGTCCTCTTGGTGCCGAGTGGCACCGAGGAGAACTGGTACTCCCTTGCCTGTGCTCACACCCAGTCATGATATGTGCATCACTGAATCACAGATCGTGTATGAACTCGGCCGATTGGTGTTGAAAGAAGGCATTCCATTTTACTCCCAACGTGTGTGTGTGTGTGTGTGGTGTCACTGTGTGTGTGTGTGTGTCACTGTGTCACTGTGTCACTGTGTCACTGTGTGTGTGTGCATGTGTGTGAGTGAGTGCGTGCGAGTGAGTGTGTGTGAGTGTGTGTTTACCCCAGCAAGTGTAGGGTGTGCATAGGTAACTGTCTTGGCCGTTTTATGCCGATGTACTCCTTGTGGTATAGACCAGGTGTGCATTGGTGGTCGATTCACATGGCTTCGCCAGTTGTGTGAATTAGACAGTTATCTGGCGCTTGTCTTGATCTGTTTCATTCGGAATCAGATCCGCTATCCCTGCTATAAAGAGAAGATCTGTGAGTGCACATCCAGTGCATTTGGAGATTTGCGTGCTTCCCTTGCGATGGGCCGCATATACATGGTGTGTGTGTGTGTGTGTGTGTGTGTTTGGGAAAGTGAGGCGGACAGCACAAAGTTCCAGCCATCTCAAAAATGATGCGTGGCGGTTGGGAGTGCTTGTGCATACTTGAACTCTACATCGCAGCGCAGGTGCAAGACACAGTCACTACCGTAGAATCCCGCGGATAAGCCCATGCCC